AACGATTTTAACTGCCTGTAAATCTAAAGAGTTGAAAAAATTACATAAATCGTTCGGATTGTTCAGTGTTTTCATAACAGGTGGCCGAAAACATTCATATAAATCGTGTAGACAGTATCTATTATGAATCCTAGAATATCGGTGTATGGTTCTAACATTGATGGAAATAAGTAGATGGTGCGCGCGTATTCATTTTTACGTATTGAAAAATCACTCGACCGCCTACTATGATTTCTCTACGTCACATCGAGCGAGACGTTGAATCTACTTTTTTCCGCTAGATGGAGATGCTGCTATTGCTGTTCAAGGTTGGTAGAACTGATGTTAATCATCAGTTCTATCAACCTTGTCCTTGCTGTGACAAGTGGAAATAAAATGGCAAATGGTATTTTAGGTACGCGGAACATATGTAAATGTGGGTTAATTTTCCTCTAAATTCGGAAAATCTGCGGCAATTCAAAAATTGACAGATGGCATAATTGTGCAATGCAAACAAAAGCGCATCAGTGAGTACACCATCTACTTTATTTCCATCATTGATCTAACTATACTTTTCGATCTCACCTGAAAGTAGTAATTCGATATCGGGATAATCAGCCTTCTCTTTCGACATCTCTGTTTTGATGTACGCGATCGCTTCTATCCCTCCCAGGGAGCTAGGGAATCCTGTTCCGTTCCTCAGCCATTCTCGCCATTCCGAGGGGTCCATCTCCGAGGGGTCCATCGCCTTGGTAGGGGAGATTATCGTCTCGTTTATGGTGAAAATCGCCGCCAAGTAGGATACGTGGTCGTACAGGGTCTCCCCCACCGGCAAATCTTGGATCACATGGATGCCTGAAAAAAAATAACATTCCTGCTAGAATTTCATAATCCGAAAGAGTATCTGAAGCGTTTTCCACTCGTCGCACTCGTTCGAACTTTTTCGGCCCTGACTGCGTTTTGCGTGGTCCACTGAGGATTTCAAGTGCGAACTTTTTTCGAGAAATGATTTCTACTGTAAAAACTTCACAAACGATAAGATTTCCACAAAATTCTCAAACACGACATGTTTCGCTAACACATTAGCTTCGTTACGTGATATGCTGGTATATATTGGCAGAGAATAAACTGTCGCTCTCTATAAAATCAGCAAACTCAGCTGCAGAAGAATTCGCCAGATGGTGTGAAAATAATGGCTTAATAATCAATAATAGTAAAACGGTCTTCATGGTTTTCCAACAAAAAAACATTTCGTATGATCACTGTCCCCTAATAAGAGTTAATCACAACTCCATAGAGCAAGTGAGCCAGTTTAAGTATCTAGGCCTGACTGTAGATCAGAAATTAACATGGGAAGTACATATAGAAAACCTTGTCACGAAAGTGAGCAGTATGTGCTTTGTAATAAAACAATTACGAGAAACAGTCTCGCTACATGTACTTAAGCTGATTTACTATGGACTTGTACAATCCATTTTATCATATGGATTGCCTTTCTGGGGGAACTCGGCACATGCAATAAAAGTTTTTAAAATTCAAAAAAAAAAGTGATAAGATGTCTAGCTGGTTTACATTACAAAGAATCATGTAAGAGAACATTCATCCAACTGGTCATACTGAGTTTACCCAGCCTCTACATTTATACGATTACAATGCACATTAGAAGAAATTAAACACACCATACCAAAAATAATATGATCCACATCTACAATACTAGAAGAGGTAATGAACTAAGACTACCTTATTCTCGTTTGGCTCTGGGACAGGACTCTGCGAGTTATCAAGGTATCATTTGCTATAACCATGCACTCAAACTATTTGGAAACGCATGTAGCTTAGGAAGTTTCAAATCAGCTCTATATAATCATCTAGTCCAAAATGCATTCTACTCTGTTGAGGAATTTTTACAATCTAAATGAGTATTCAATATTATAAAACTTTAATCCTTTAACTTCTATTTTAAAATGTTTGTGTCTGTTCAAATGTTTTTATTCCTGTTCTTGACTAGTCTGATAAAATTTTATAAATGTATGTAATACAGATGTAGAATTTTCAATGATGAATAAATTTCTATTCTATTTTATTCTATTCTATTCTATTCTATTCTATTCTATTCTATTCTATTCTATTCTATTCTATTCTATTCTATTCTATTCTATTCTATTCTATTCTATTCTATTCTATTCTATTCTATTCTATTCTATTCTATTCTATTCTATTCTATTCTATTCTATTCTATTCTATTCTATTCTATTCTATTCTATTCTATTCTATTCTATTCTATTCTATTCTATTCTATTCTATTCTATTCTATTCTATTCTATTCTATTCTATTCTATTCTATTCTATTCTATTCTATTCTATTCTATTCTATTCTATTCTATTCTATTCTATTCTATTCTATTCTATTCTATTCTATTCTATTCTATTCTATTCTATTCTATTCTATTCTATTCTATTCTATTCTATTCTATTCTATTCTATACGATGAACTACACTAACTTTGGCTTGCTTATATATCCTACTTCCCCAACCTGAACGATCAGTTACTTGTGGACAGATTCGATAAACCTTCATTTTCGGAAGTTAAGCACAATATCTACATTAAAATACGGTGTATCGAATTTACTTGAAAGGGTTGATAGCAAATACATATTATAACTCACTAAGAAAACAAATTCAACAGTGGTGAACGAACTCGTGAACGAACTATTGAGGTCTAATTGATCGTTAAGTAAAATGTCAGAATTTTTGAGTTTGTTGATTTTTAATGATTCAAAATGATTGAGTTTCATTCCTTTATTTTCTACGTGTAGAATTTCGAAATTATCACCAAAACTATGGTTTTCTTCTAATACATGGTTGGCGTATGTTGACTTTGTTTTTTATTTCACAAAATTCATCTTATGTTCAAGAATGCGCTGATTAAACGTACGACCTGTCTGACCGATTTATACGTTAGGACAAGATCCACAGTTGAGTTTGTATACCCCTGATTTTTCGAAGTTTTGTCTTTATTATTCTTGATAAACCTTCCCAACGTGTTATTTGTTCTATATGCTACTTTTAAGTCCTGTTTATGTAGAAATTTATTTATTTATTTATTTATTTCTTACACTGTTCAACAGGTTGTCCCATTTACAGAACAGGAAAAAAGGACAAAACAAAAACATGCATTGCATATTACATAAGCATAATAAATAAACGAAACAATATGACAAAATGAAAATATCCTGACTAAGTATCTAGTTATTCACTGATGAAGGAGAAAAAAGATAAAAAGTTTTGACATGAGTTATTCCACAGCTGAACAAATCTAGATTCCTATCTACCAAGTTATATGTACTACACATCTTATACAAAGGTGAATTTTTATATATGTTGGTTCGAGGAAACTCTAAGTAGAACGTATCACAATTTCTGGAAGATAATCTCGGCGGGATGATAAAGTTCAATTTCTCCAACAAATCTGCACAGTCAATTAGATTGTTAACAACCTTATAAAGGATCAGGATAGAGAAGTATTGTCTTCTCACGTGCAGGCTTACGAATTGGAAAGTTTCAAGAAGCTCTCCATGAGGTGTACCAATTGGAGGGTATGTACCGCATGACCTGTAACTTAACAGTTTTCAGTACCAGTAACTTTCAAGACGATCAGTATTGTTCCGATAGTATGGGCTCCAAACAACCGATGCATATTCAATCTTCGAACGTATAAAACAGTAGTACAATTTATATAAATAAAGCTAATTTCTCAGTTGATGATCCGAAATAGGTTAAAGTCAATCCAAATTTTCCTGAATTATTGAGATCATGCTGAATAGTTTCGTCAGTAATTCTATGCAAGAACTATGAACTCACCCAATTCTTCCAAATGTTTCTTGGGTCCCACTCCGCTGAGCATCAGCAGCTGCGGTGAATTGAACGTCCCCGCTGACAGAACGACCTCTTTGGTCGCCGTCACGTGATACTTTCGTTTGTTCCTGTAGTATTCCACGCCACTGGCGGTCTTCGTCACGTGGTCTATCGAGATTCTCGTCACTCGCGCCGACGTCACTATTCGTAAATTGCTCCTGCTACGGACGGGGTCTAAGAAGGCCGTGGCGGCGCTCTGCCTTCTGCCGCGTTTCATCGTGGCCTGGATTTTCGAGAAGCCCATGAAGTCGGGGGTATTGTAGTCGACGCTTTTGCTGCCCATTTCTTCACCTGTTCAAACCACATAATTATTATACACTCACCTAGAATGTCAATGCATGGAAAATTTATCGACCCAAATTGATTTCGCGCACGTGCACTTCTGAGCATGCGCAGTATCAGGGCCTACTCTATCTCTAGAGTAGGCCCTGGCAGTATGCAACATGAGGTCAGGACCGTCCTCCAAAATTTGTTTTTTTATCAACATACAGATGTTTCCACTACACTGTTCCACCACTAACCAAACCGATTTTTTGAACTCCTCGACACGTGTTTCGCTAACTATGTTAGCATCTTCAGGAGAAGATTAAAACTAAATATCCTATTCTAGTGTGCTGCTTATATACTAATATGTTCACCCAACCGTGAAAAATAGTAACCGTCAAGTTAATGTTTGTCATGGTTGAGTTCACATGTTAATCTTGATTTTTATATTACAAACTATATAAAGGGCTATATGGAATAGGTCCATTATCCTTATTCATTAATCTGTTACTTTTCTCAAATATCTCTAAGCTTTCATATGCGTCTAATTTTCTAATATTATTAACTTGCTTAACTAATTTGAGGTTAGTAATATGTGTGTTATGATTGTGACTGAACATAAGTGCGGCTACACACGATTCATCTAACCTGCCATATTTCAAATGTGCTATGTGTTGTTTGAACCTTGTTTTTATGGGTCGCCTGGTTTGGCCTATATATGTTTTATCACAATCATTACAACTTATTTCGTATATTCCCGACTTTTCAATTGGTGCGACATTATCCCTGATGAACATAGGCTCCTTTTATCGCGGAAAAAACGGGTAATTATCCTCCCATACTTATCTTTTCACATAACTTCTAGACGGCTGAACTGTTTGGGTTGACATTTTATACGGGTATTTCGATGGTTTCGCTGCTGTCGGTACGTCAACTACTATAAATATATCGATATATTCATCGATATATCGATATTTTTTCGCAGGCCTAGTCTAGATAGTGAAAATCTTCAAAATCGTTTTGTTATGAGTTTAGCAGCCGAACGGACGATAAACATCACTTTCGGTGACATGTTTAGGGTTGTAATGATTTATTTCCATATATATGGTAGGCGAAAAAAATCATGAGCCTGCCTTGTGATGGTATACCATGATGTTTATAATGTGCGTCAATTTTATTATGGTTATTATTATTATAATTTCTCTCAGTTTTTACCTGCTCTTATGAAGGCGTTTGTTAATTCTGTCGTGAAGGGATATTCGATACTTAGATATCCGCCATTCTGATGATATCGACTCTGACATTCTTTGCCCAAATGGCAGTCTTCTGATTTCAGATAATATTGGATCACCTCGTCATAAGACCATCCTGGGTTACCTGTAAATGAGAAAATTAAACGATTACAAGAGGGTCATTAGATGAGTAGGGCGATTGATTACGAAATTCACGTCGATTCATCTCAAAAACCATAGAAGTAAACTGCTCAGCACTCGGAACGGTCAAAATGTTTCGCTAAATTTATATTCATCCTAATTTCCCACCGCTTCAAGCGATTTCCAATTTCTTTTCAGTTCCTGAATGCTTGTCTCATTGACTATCCAACCAAGTGCGATAGCACTTATCGCCAAACCAACTTTATTCGCATTTATATATACTTGTAAACTATTTTTATTTTATTTTTTCCGAATAAAGTTATATTTTTATTATTATTAATATTACTGATAATTGCTTCTCTTCAAAAGGAGATTCTGCAGGATTATAATCAAAACTGCAATTCTTCAAAAAGTTTAAAGACCTCCCGTTTGAATGGAAAATGTTCCCAATTTTTTTCTGAGGTGAAAAATATATCGAACCATCTATTTTAGCATTTAGTTAATTGGTTCTTCTGAATGATGGAATACATTGCTTCTTGCTTCACTGAAGCTCATTAAGAGTGGCAAAATTTGTTCGACTCTCTGTTGAAGTTTCTTTTGAAGTTTGATTGTCTTTCGTCCGTCGCTCCCCTTACATATTACTAAAAACTGTTGGATGCATAAGTTTCATAGGGTTTCATTCTATCTCTCTAATGGTATAAGATTCATTCATACAGTGTGTCTCAAAAAAGCGAAGCGACTTCGAAGTTCATTTTTCAAATAGGACACCCTGTATATCAGTGCATTTTTACATTCTACGTTGAATTTTGAGAAAGTTTGATGGATGGTTCCACATCACAAAAAAATGGTAGTTTTGGAATTATGAATACTTGTAAATTATTGGTGCACCGGTTCAGTGAGAAAACCGTTGAAAATGGACTCTTTGAAAGCTTTTAACATTTTTTGTAATGTGTAAAATAGAGAAGTTACGAGGGCGGCGACGGACTTTTGGTCCTCACTGTATGTAAGTATGATCAGGGAAAAGTATGCATAGTACTGATACTGATGAGTCTCAGTCGTTAGCGCCTTTGCCATTTCGAAAAATATGATCCTCGGTATGATCTGTTGCAGATAATTACTCTTTTTGACTCGGAATGTATCAACACATTGCAACGTTCCTAAGTTTTTTGTGAACTAGCTGATACACTTGTTTGCCCCAAGTCATTCCTTCTATATGTATAGGTATTCAAGCCATTGAAGAACTAGTATATGAATCAGGTATCAAATTGTAATGACTGTAACATGAAATATATTGGGCATACGTGTCGAAGCATAGGCGCCAGATTGAAAGAACATATACTGCACAATTCAAATAATATCGGTTTGATGAATCAACTGTTGCTCAGCATATCCTTGGAACTGGTCACCGTCGGGCCAATCACTTAATTTGAGACTTCTAAAACATTTAATGAATAATAGAAAATTGAACAGTTTGGAGTATTTACACAAATCATAATAGATATTATTTGATCTAAACTGGAGAAAAATGTGGTATAATGGAAATTTCCAGAGAATATCTCGAGAGATACTCTGAAGTAATCTAATTCTTATTTATTTTTTAGATCTAAGTACTCAGTATGGCAACTAGTTGCCTATTCACGTATCTCTTTTTCAAATATTGATGTGACCTTTTGTATTAAATTACTTGACCACCGTCTCCAAAACATCACTTCAACACCTCAGAATCGATTCGCTCACCTTGCCCCTCCCACCGCTCGAAGTCCCCGGGATTCCCCCTCGTGTAGATCATGTAATTGATGACGCTGGTGCCTCCCAGAGCCCTGCCTCTCGGCCAGTTACACACCCCCTCCTCCATCGCGTTGCAAACGCCCTCCTGTCTCTCCATGCGGTAGCCCCAGTTGTAGGGGGTCAGTTGGAAGACAGGGGCCAGCAGGGGGATCTCGGTAAGAGAGTTGGCCCGGGTGCCTGCTTCCAGCAGCAGGATGCGCCATTGAGGGTTCTCTGACAGTCGGCTGGCTATCACGCTGCCTGCTGACCCTGAGCCGACGACGATGAAGTCGTAGTCATCTGAAACTAACAACAAATCACGCTGTTTCAGTACACCACTATCATGAGAAGATAGATTGTAGATTGAAGCTGGGATACCTCTCGATCACTGCGATCTATTTTGATTACACTTATCTAAATTTAGTCCTTTAACCGTAGACTTCTCATGAAGCCTAGGAATATCTTGACGGTTGAATTCAGCAACTCAGCAGGCATCAGATAGACCACTATCAGAGGCTTCACAACACTACTGTCAGGAAAAGAAATATTGTAGACTGTAGCTGTGTTTTGTTGGCTGGGAGACCTCTCGATCACTGTGAACTAGGAGATCGATTGTGACTACCCTATCTGATCTTTGTTGTTCAACACTAGACTTCTCATGAAGCTTAGGAATTTCTTGACGGTTGAATTCACCAACTCAGCAGCCATCAGATAGACCACTGCCAGAGGCTTCACTACATCACTGCCAGGAGAAGAAATATTGTAGATTGCAGTTTGTATAGGTGGATTGTATAGGCTGGGATACCTCTCGATCACTGCGACCTAATTTTAGTCATTTGTATAAGCTTTGAGGCCTTTCGACTCGCCTCTCGATCACTGCGACCTAGCAGATCTATTATGGCTAACCGCTAACCTCATCTAATTTTAGTCCTCTAACCATAGTTTTTTCTTGATGGTTAATAGACCTGTTTTAAATGATTCAATCCGATTCAACCTTTGGCGAACTAATACATTACATGAGCAAAGTATATGTTCCACGGTTTCGGTCGCTATGTTGCGAAAGCGGCAGGTGTCAGTCTCCGCTAGCCCTATCTTTTCGGAGTGATAACACACATCAGGCAGTGTTTGCTGAGGCTGAGTAGCTACTCAGCTCTGTTATGCGAATGCTTGATGAACCTTTTCGCTTCTCGTTGAACTGGAGTTGCTCGGAAGTAGAAGGACGATTAAGTCCCTTTCCGATTTCCTGATGAGCACTGCGATTAGGTGACACTTACTTTAGCCCCTATCGCAGGGGGTCAGTTAGAAGACGGGGACCAGCAGCATGATGCTCAACCGGAAGTTCTTCCATAGTCGGCTGGCTATCACGTTGCCTGCTGACCCTGGGCCGACGACAATGAAACTGACGGTATCACGCTGTTTCATTACACCACTGTCAGGAGAATATAGATTGTTGATTATAGCTGGGAGATCTCTCGATTACTATGATCTAGAAGAATTATTTTGACTGTCATAGCCTCGTCTGATTTTATTCCTCTATAACCCTAGACTTAAATTGAAGATTGTAGGTGAGTTGTATAGGCTGGGAGACCTCTCGATCACTGCGACTTAGAAGATGCGACTTCTGGTAGCTGCCTGTTGACTCTGAGTCAACGACGATGGAGTCGTAGTCTTCCGAAACTGACGGTATCGGATTGATTCATTACACCGCTGTCAGAAAAATTATAGATTGTAGATTGTAGATGTGGAAGACACTGATCAAGTTTATCATAATAAGTCACAAAGCAGTAACGGGATATCTAACGGGGCATTGTATACTCAAAGATTATCTGAGGAAGCTAGGCTTAGAGGAGGACACACAAGAAATCGAATAAACTGGGATCATATCAGCTGAATGTGGAAGAGAAACCGCGAACAGATCCTCCCAAAATCCTTATATTCCTAAACGATTTGAGGCTTGAGGGGATGCTATGAACAAAAAAAACTTCAGATAGCAGCAGAAGATGGGGCCTAATAGATCTGATCAGATCGCAGAGCAACTGTCACCATCCACACCTACCAATACCAAATATCAGTGATTGTAGATTGTAGGTGAGTTTTAAAGGCTGGGAGACTTCTCGATCACTTCGAACTAAAAAATCTATTGTGACTACCCTTATCTGACTTTGATTTTCTAACCACAGACATATCATGATCCAAGGATTTTTTGACGGTTGCATTTTTCAACTCAGCAGGCGTCAGATAGATCACTGTAAGATTGTAGATTGTAGGTGAGTTGTATAGGCTTTTTTGACTACCCTCATCTAATCTTAGAATGCAGATTCCAACTTTTGATGGTTCAAAGCTCTTGGGAAAACTCCCTTGGACAAAGAATTCTCAAGATTTGCCTTTCTATAGACGAACGGGTTTTGGTAGAGAGTTGTTTAACATATATTGAGGTTGACGAGAAAAAGATTTGCTGACCGAGATTGTCGAGTTCGTCTGACTAAATATTGCTAGTAAGCTCGCTAGTAAGTGATTGCATGATTGCCGAGATTCTGACTAACATTTGAGTATCTATCTAAAAGTGAAAGATCGCCGATTTTCCTGCGGCATTCCAATGATGTCAAGAAATTAGTAAGTGTGTCATCACCAACCAGGTGAATGGCTCTTCTTTGGATGGAATCTAAGAGCATCCGCGTATGTTAGAATGCTTAACTCCATGATTTGGCAGTCAACTAAAACTCTTTGGATCTGTGCTTTGTTGATCAAGAGAAGTTGTTGACTAACTTTCAGGACGCAATAGAGAGTCGTATTTGTGAAGCAGGTTCCGCGATTAATCTGACATGATTTTTTCATGATTATTGGGATTCACTAGCGTCTAGACCTCGGGCGCAACAAATAATCCCGGTCCGTTCCAGCAGAGATAGGGGAGTGTATAATCTCTGGTTCCAGCGAGCCGTGCGGGAGAAAATTTGCGAAACAATAATAAGTGTAAGTGATACCTAGGTACCTAATAATAATAATAATAATAATATAAGTTTATTCAAAATCGTTTACAAAATATACATTGGAATAAACATAAAGGTAATTTGAATAAACTGGGAAAAACCTTACGAAGTTAACCTTGTAGTAAGGATAAAAAATAAATAAATGTACATAGGTCAATAAATATTTAACAATAACAAGTTATCACAATTGAAAATTGTCTCATTAAGAAAGGAGACAAGTATTCAATTCATAATATATAGTGTACGGAGCATTTCATTCAATACGCATAATTATTTATATTCATACATACTTATTCACAATTATTATTAAAATTTATCTAATGATATTATTAAATGTTAATTAAAGAAATAAAATAATTTTTAGGGGAGTTTAATATCCAGTTTTTTATTTTTATTGTATAGGATTGTAGTGATTTTGTTTTTATAATATCATTTGGAATTTTATTATATAGGTAAGGAATTAAAAATTTAAAATTTCTACGTCCAAATGACTTGTTTGTTTTATATTTCAATGTTATGTTATTTTTATTTCTTATGTCATAGATATGTTTTTTAAACTGAAATGTCCTTTTTATTTTTGTAAATATGAATCAGTAAATTGTAAATATAGAGTTGATTTATATCCATTTTCTTAGATTCCTTATATAAAAGTTCAGTTGGAAACAAATAATCTTTTCCATAAATAACTTTTAAAATCCATTTTTGTGCAATTTCTAATATTTATTCATTCATTCATTCATTTATTTATTCCAGAAACAGACAGGCAGACACAATGCCTAATTATGTGTTTCTTACAAATTATTTAAAAAAAAAGATTCTATTATTATAATATATTCAATTGAGGGCTCTTCACACAAGACCAGTTATACAATTGATCGCAATTGATTTAATGGACGGAATATCGATGATTTGCGCGTTCTTACAGAGGGATCCAACTACTCAGGTTACAGGACTACCAGGAGCTTATGAGCTTTCTTAGCTCTAATTTGAATTTTTTAGGCGCAATATCGAATATTCCACAAATTAGTTCTTCACTGTGCGTATTGTAAATATTACACATTCGACTTATTAGATCAAACGATTGATAGCTATGGATATCATTTAATATTCTGAGGCACGAGGAATATGAATATAAATATATATTTGTGAAATCTAACATGAAACAACTGCTTTCCCAGTTAATACCATGTACATAAATTATTGAATCATATCTCTATCCCTTTGATATCCTAATTTAGATAAGAAATTACGTCCTTGAATCATAGATATTAGATTGCACAATCTGAAATACATACCTCCCTGACAAGATGTAACTTGACTCCTCGTACAATTTAAAAATTTTGAAGTGGTTGATTCCTAGGGTAGGAGGTTGAGAGGTGGTTGGATATTTTCATGTGAAAAATAGATTGCCAAAAAAGAAAATCGAACTATCTGAGGATTTTCTCAAATATATTTTTGTCATGGAGATTTCATTTCCATACTGTATATGCGTTTTTTATCTCTTGGAGCGCACGAAAGGGAATCGTTGTTCGAGGAACATCTTGCGTACCTAGGGAGGATAATGAGAAAAAGTAGATATTGCATTTTTTTGTAACATTCGGAGATTATAAGTTCATGGGAATGCTCCCTTTGTCAAATAATTTCGATGCTTTGCCGTTCTATTGACACATGAGTTTTGGTATAAATGCACCGTTATCGATCCGTGAGAGGGCGGTAAAGAATAATTCCATTTTCAAATTTTCACCAATATTTCGCAATCCTGGAAAGGTACTGCTCCGAAATTCACTTTAGTAAAATGGGTATGGAAAACATGTCGTACCAATTTAATCAAGATACAGGGAGTTAGGTATTTCGCATTCTCTTTGATACAAATTAATGTAACTTTCTTTGGGGTACGGCACTGACCACATTTCGATATTTCGATGAATTATAAAATAAATTATCTAATTTTTTTCTAATTGCAGTATTTTTATAATTTTGCTTGGTTTTCTAGATATCTATCAATATTAATGTTGTTGCTTCTCTACAGAGTGGGCCTCCAGTAACGCCTCGGTCTCTAGAAGGCTAACCACTTATCTTCTTGGAATTCTTCCTCTCTAGGAAGTTGCATGTCAACATAGGCTACCATTTAAAATTATTTCGAAACATACAGGGTGTCCCCAAAAACCATAAAACACTGAAATTAAACTTTTTTCCATCGAACACCCTATATATTATTTCATTTTGAGATTCTCCCTGATGAGCTGATTTCAACGACCCATCATACTTGGGGTCTAGCAGTTATAATTACTGAAATATAGGGTGTGAAAAATCGAGATTTTCCAAGTTCAAGAATTTTTTGTGTCGAAACTATCCCTATCTCAACTTTTGATTAACTATCTACTGATATTTAATTGGGACATATACCGGGTGATCAAGATTCTGAATTCTGCACCACCCTGTATTTGTTCCAATTAAATGTCAGTAGATAGTTGATCAAAAGTTGAGATAGGGACATGTGAGTCGTTTTGACCAATTATGAATGGTTTAGACACAAAAAATTCTTGAACTTGTAAAATCTCGATTTTTCACACCCTATATCTCAGTAATTATAACTGCTAGACCCCAAGTATGATGGGTCGTTGAAATCAGCTCATCAGGGAGAATCTCAAAATGAAATAATATATAGGGTGTTCGATTGAAAAAAGTTCAACTTCAGTGTTTTGTGATTTTTGGGGACATCCTGTATGTTTCAAAATAATTTCAAATGGTAGCCTATGTTGACATGCAACTTCCTAGAGAGGAAGAATTCCAAGAAGATAAGTGGTTAGCCTTCTAGAGACCGAGGCGTTACTGGTGGCCCACCCTGTATATTATACTTTTTTATGATTATGACGATTATCATGGTCTGCAAGTATTCACCTCATTATTTGTGTTGAATTATTGACCAACATAATCATGTTTATGATCCACTTTAGCATAATGATAATGTTGTTGGCTATCTTCAAATTCATTTATTTTTTCTCGAATAAAGTTTTTTCACCAGAAATCCTGAACTGAAATTTGAAAATGACCAGCTCCCAAATCATATGATGAAGAGCTTGCGAAATGGTGAGAATGATTTTTATGGTTAATAACTCATAAAAAAAACTGCAGTTAGAAAAAAGTGAGATAATTGATTTCGTCATCTTTTGAAATATCAAAATGTGATCAGTGCAATAGAAGTTACATCCATTTTTATCAAAGAGAATGCGAAATACCTAGCTCCCTGTATATTGATTGAATTGGTACGACATGTTTTCCATGCACATTGACCATATCAAATGGCCCTACGTATTTCAGAGCAGTACCCTTCAAGGATTTCGAAGTATTGAAGAAAATCTGGAAAACAAATTGTTCTTCATCGCTTATCGGCCTATCTTGATTTCTAGTTTACCTTGTCGAATTTATGGTACGTTGATTGATGAAATAAACCTCTGGTGTACGCACCTCAATCCTTTCCTGTTTTTCAATTCCTTGATTTTTGCCTAAACATAACATGGCGTGGGTGAATCTCGCTAAGTTTAGTCTGGTGCCGTACCAAAATTACAGGCATCAATGTGACAATCGTGGCCGAATTGTGACCAATGAAGATAGGGAATACATTTTGCGATTTAGCCGTATCAAGGTTGGTAGAACTGATGTTGATCATAAGTTCCAAGGTTGGTAGATAAGTTCTAGGAATCACGCCATCTAACATTCAATTTGTGAACTCCACGTCATCGTCTGAAATTCAATTGTTTATATCAAGAACCAGCCTGACGAAACAAATGAAGAGTGAGCGCACCAAAGGTTTATTTCATCATTGTTCGTTGGTCTGGGAACCTTGTATAAGATTATATGACAGGTTGCTCAACAGCTTCATTTGGAATTGTTGAAAAAAGCATACGATTCGAACAGGTTGATTCAAAGACGATTCATATGCGAACTATATGAAATGGGAATAACAGTTTCAAGAAAAATGTATCAATAACTATACTCCAAAAGTTGGTCTACTACTCGTAATGTTCGGTTGATATTGCTTGGGGAAAAGTGATAAGAAATTGATCCAGATGCGAATGGAAAATACCCGTGTGAGACCTAGTCGGTGTATAAATGTAATGTGCTTGAATGCCAACTTGACCAGATTCAATTCCTCACCTATTTCATTCGATTGACGTCGATGTGCTGAATGTTGAAAACCTCCAGAATATGTCCTTCCACTCAGCAAACTGTTGATCCTGGCAAGAAATGAGGTCAAGAGGTAGCCATCCATTTCCAATACGCCATCATTGAGAATTATCAATATCAGCAATAGAAGTTTCATGTTTCAGGCCTGAAAGGAAGTTCAGTATTTTATCTCGCTGACATGAAAAGGATGGAAGAGCAGACTATACTTTCGTTGAATGTGTGTGGCTGAATGCCGCTCTTTGTTTCTTTTTATTTATTTTATTTATTAAGTAATCTACAGAACAGGCAGTTCCAATAATCTATTACAATATTGAAACTAAGTAAATTACCATTCTCAAAATAATACAATGCCTTAAACTAAATTAACTCCAAATGACCTGAGTCAAAATCAAATTGAGAGACACATTCAGTTGAAATTGACAAATGGACCTTTTTCATCTAAATTGGCTTTCAGTTACAATTCTCATTTACTTCTAAGGATGATATCTCAATATCAA